GGGTAGGCTAGAAGGAAGGCCAGAGGCTAAGTCTCTCAAAAGAGTTCTCCAGGGAGTGCAGTCTACGATTGAGTCTGGTGTCCCTGGAGTCAAATTGAGAACCAAAGATTGTACTTGTAGATCTCTAGATCTAGATCTAGAACTCTAGATATCCACTCTAGAACTATCCAGCTGAAAGGGAATTTAGAGCTTGCTTCTCTGGTAAATTTCACAGATGAAGCAAAAATACAGTGTTGACGGGACTTTATCAAAAGAAAAGGCACAGGAAGGATTTAAGTTTCCCAGTTTCTAGTTGCCTCTACCTCCCACAAGTTTGTCCGTGGATGTTCCAGTCCCACATCTGGTGGAGACAATGTTATATGGCTACATGGATGGTATCCCACAAACAGGTGTTGACACAGGGATTCTTTTAGGACAAGAGGAGTTCTGCAGAATTCAAAGGGATCATCCTCTTGGCAGTATCACCACTATAGAGCTTTATGTATCTAATGCTGATTTGAATCGGATTCTCAGAGAATCTGCACTGGCCAAAAAGTTTAGAAATTTTTTATAGAAAGGAAGACTTGGGGCACCTGGGTGGCAGTCAGTTGAGCGTCCGATTCTTGGTTTTAGCTCAGATCATGATTTTGGGGTCATGGGATCGAGCCCCATGTTGGGCTTTGTGCTCAGCAGGGAGTCTCTACAGGATTCTCTCCCCCCCCAACTCTCTCTCTCTCATAAATACATAAACAAAATCTTTTTTTAATTATTTTTTTAAATTTTTTAAAGATTTTATTTATTTATTTGACATAGCAAGAGAGAGCACAAGCAGGAAGAGCAGCAGAGGGAGAAGCAGGCTCCCTGCTGAGCAAGGAGCCCGATGCAGGACTCGATCCCAGGACCCTGGGATCATGACCTGAGCCGAAGGCAGACGCTTAACCGACTGAGCCACCCAGGCGTCCCCATAAATAAAATCTTTTATAAAAAGGAAGACTTAAGAAACTTTTTGAATCAGAAACATGATGTATTTGTGGGTTTGTAAAGCATTTAAAATAAAAATCATTTCCAGATACTTTACTGTTATGTAAGATGTGGCTATTGGTTACTAAATAAATACACTTTCTAAATTCAGTGGCAACTTGTCTTCTCCTACCTGATTTATTCATCAGTCAACATGTTCTAAGCAAGTAATACAGGCATTTAGGAAATATTTAGGAAATATATGGGAGCAGAGGACACGGAGACCAATTAAGTCTGTCTGTGTACGTATCTGTAATACAAGAGAATGTGTGATAAAGCGGAGAGAAGCAGGGAAGAAGGGCTTAGGAGGATAACCTGGGCAGCCAGGAGGAACTGGCTGTTGGAGCAAAAGTATGATTTTGAGAGTGGGGAGGCATGGGGAAGGTGGCACAGGAATGAAGGACATTTACATAGATGGCAGCCTGGTGCAATGTAAGGGGGATGTGCGCAACCAGGTACGGATGAACTGACTATGTTGCCCAGCACCCACACTTTGCCTGGATGTCAGGGGGGTGAGGTGGAAGGGCAGGTAGATCAGGACCAGGGTGTGGGAGACTCTGAGTGTCAGATTTGGGGTCTGATCTTGCTTAGGTAGGCAACAGACAGGTGCTGGTGATTTCTGGGGAAGGAATGGCCGAATTCAGAGGGTGTGTGCAGGAGAAAGGAGACACCGAAGTCAGTAACGGTAATGAGAAAATGATCACAATGGCCAAGCCGATGAACTATTCTAGAACTAGGACAGTGGTAGTGAGAAAGGAAAGAGGAGAATGAACGTGAGAACTGAGGGATCTAAGTCTGTCTGATTGACAGGAAGTGCAATAACCTCCCTCCATTACTCAGAGCCACTCTAACCTGCTAAGTACTCTGCCCATTGTCATCTGAGAGCACAAAGGACTTACGGATGTATAATTTAACGCTCACCACTGCTAACGAAGGGGGTGTTTAAGACTTGCACAACTCTACATCCATGTCCAAAGCGTATCTTTCCATCAGAAGAGAAAAAAGTGACAACCGTGTCCTAACCAATCCTCACTAGGAACTGCCTACTGCGAAAACCGCTCACACAAGAGGAGAAAAAAAGGTCAAATTAGAAAGTTATCGCTTGTAACATTTCATCCTGCATTCATGTGGAACCATTTCTGCTTTGCCAAGCCCTTTCCTACTTATTTTCTCATTTTCCCTAAAGCAGCCCTTGGGGTTTTAATAAAGTGTGGGAACTACTGGCCCCGTTTTACGGAAGAGAGGTACAATGCCTGCCCACGGACACACGGGAGCGACCAGGCCTGGAGTCTCCCAGCATCTCCTGACCTTCCACGCCTTCACCACGTGGGCTCAGTGAGAGGCGAGGAAGTGGTCTGAACTTCACGGGATTTAAAATAGACACTGGTTGGATAAGATATGGGTGCTATGAAAACCCAGCCAGGGGAGCAGATAAAGGCTGCCCAGAAAATGTCCTCCACCAAGTGAAACACAATCCAGAGTCCAGCTGGGAATTCCACTGCTGCCTTGGGTTTAGGAATTGTTTATTTTTATTTCTTGGCTCGGACCTTTCATTCCTGCCCTTGTCTCTTGTCGTCTCCCTCCTTGCCCCTCTTTCTTCTCCTGGAAGCCAGAGCCCGGCTCCGCACAGACACACACGTCCGCGCTGTACACCACTGTCTAAAAACACAGCTCGCTCTAAAAAGCTTCATCTCCTGCAGGTGGCATAATTTAAAAATTTAAAATGGACACCCAAGGAACATATCGTGTCACGATCAGCCTTCGAATCATTTACTCTGCTTATTAAAGACCCAGAAATAAAATAAACACAGTTCCCAGGGGAAAAGAACTGAACACACAATGAGGGACTCTTGAGAGCGGCATTTTCAAGCCCAGTTTCTGGGGTGACCTTATGTAATCAGGCATAATTGTCTGCACATGTCCAGTTACAATCTTTCAGAAATGATTCCCAGCCCATCCGATAGCGTCAGAGGGGTCAATGTTGACCCCCGCAGAGTCTGAGCGCCACCCTCTTCTGCACTATCCAATTAGGAAGTGAGGATGCCACAGGGGGTGGAACTGTGAGCCCATTTCCCGCCTACTCGCATAGGCTTTCTGCAGCTCACATTCTCCTCCCCACACTCTGGTACTTTCCTCATGTTCTTGTCTTCCACTTATACAGAGCAAAGCTTTTTCTGGAAAAATCTTTTGAGACGGAAGATGTATCTCAAAAAGACTCAGAAAACGCATAAATGCATATGTGCTGGAACTGCCTCCTCCCCCCCTCTCCCCCCACCCCCGACAAGCACAGAGCAACCTCATTCGTCTGGGGTCCGTTTTTGAGAACATACTTCTCCACCACAGTATCTTGTGTTTTTCTAAGCAGGCTTCCAGCAAGCCAGCCATTAACATAGTAATTATAATTAGCATAAGCGCAAGAAGAGAAGAATGCCTCTGCTCTGGAAAATCCTTTCTTGAAAAGTGACAGGATTGCCCAGAGTACCATTCAACAGGGTTAGCTTTGACCTCCTCCGTCTCTTGCCAGACAAGGACTTGATAAATATCATACAAATTCAGAGGGGATTCTGCCTAAAGAAGGTAGAAAATAAAGCACTCCTAATTGGCTGGGGCCTTAAAAAGTCACCAAGACACTTATGACCTGGTACTTGACTGTCTCCTCTGACATCCTGACTGAGTAGCTGGCTACGCCACGTTTGAACGCGCTGATGACGCGGAATTCTTGACTTCCAGAGGCAGCCAATCCCTTCTCTGGACGACTCTGACTGGGAGAAAGGCTCATCAAAGGTCAAAGTGAGATGTGTTTCTCTGAATCTTCTACTTAGTGCTCCTGTCCTTGCCCGGCTTAGATCACTCATGACCAATCTAATCTTCCTCACAAATAACGTGTCTAAAACTACTATATACCACCCACAGCTTCTCATTTATGGGCTAAGAATTCCTAATTCTCGCAACCAGTCCTTGTGATGAAACTGTTGGTATTCTGTTGATTCCTTCCAGTCTCGCCTGAGTCGTGTCTGATTTGACCAACGCAGGGTCCAAGGAGCCCTCACTTCCCCCACCGCACACACTCTACCTCAATTAGCACAGACTAGGATGACATTAACACGTCATGCCTGCCTTTCCTTCATCCCATCCCCAATTCATTTGAATCATAGCACCAGAAACAAACAACCACAACAAAATCATCACCATCAATCAACCACAGTTTTCTTCTATAGTTCTGAGCGAATGGTTCTACTGGAGCCTCCTGCGACCTCTAAAAGCCCAGGAAATGACCCCTGATCTAAAGAACAGCCTCCTTTTCCAGGCTGCCTCTTGCCCTCGCTTGCTGTCACCGCTGCTGAGATAGCGGACGATTGATCTGAGAAATCAAGTTGGATTGCTGTCCCAAATCTACATTCGGTTCTCCTTGTGTCTGTCTGATCGATTTCACTCTGTGCGACACAGCTTGTCGCTATGAATTTTCATGCTAGTCAGAAGCCGCCAGCGCGCCCAAGAACGAGGAGAGGGTCCCGGCGCCCCTCCCCGTCCCTTCCACGTCCCCAGCCTCGGCGTTAATTTCTTTCTGGTTTCCATCCTTAGCCAGACTGGAGAAAGGTGCTTTTTCGGACCACAGACCTGGATGCAGTGGATCTGGGCTACCGGTTTTCCTGCCCGGGGTCCCCGGGCCCCGGCTCGTGGTGACATTTCCGACCGCTGTTGTGCTACATGTCACCTGTTCAGCAGGCGCCTCTCAGCTGCACGCGAGTGGCCGCAGGTGCCAGGCGGACACTGATTGGGTGTGACAGCCCTCGACGCCAGCTGCCCGCGTGCACCCTGCCCGTCGTCACTTTCTTGCGGGGAGAATGCCGCCGACGGCGTGGCCGATATGGAAACGAGAAACTAAGGGACCGTAAAGCTAAGAGAGGTCCTACTAAGTGGCACTCCGAGCCCTACGGCTTTGAAATAATTGGTTATGAGAGAATAAAAACAAAGGGGGTGGGGGAGCCTTGTTTTCTTACACTGATGCCCTGCGGACTGTACATCTGACTGGCTGCGAGTCCGTCACTGTATCCTCCTGTCTGGCTGATAACATGGCGAAGGGTATCCACCTAAACAGATGAACAACAACAGAGAGGAGATTAGTCAGGGAGACACAGGGGGAAGGAGGCAGAGCATCATCACGCAAGCTACAATGTGGGCATGCCGGACCGACACAGTCCCGGCCGAGGTATCCTTCCCGGGAGGGGGCCGCCGGGAGGGGGCCGCCGGGAGGAGGCCGGCCTCTCTAGCTGCCAAATCCGTTTTCCTTTCTGAGTTCAGTCAGCAAGACGGGAACACGGTCAAAGGCACCTGGGAGGCCCACCACTGAAACTAACCCACAGCGCTGCAGGAGACAGTGGGGGCTGGGGGGCAGGGGGCAGTGAGAGGGGACAGAGTGAAGGAGCTCCCCCGCCGCCGGAGAGATCACCCTACCTCGCTTCACCCTATGCAAGTCCAGGCTCTGTCTGGAGGGGGCTCGGGCAGCCACCTCCCAGAGAGCACAGTATGTGACTAACACTGTCCTCGTGAGGACTCAGATGATGGCTAGCTGTGTGGTCACTCGACCAGATTGACCATGGCTCCTCATACTTGTCCCCAGGCCGTGTTTCCTGAATCACTGGCCAGGTGGTTTCTTCCAGACGTGAGGTGCTTCCTGTTGCACATGCAGGATGGGAGACTGGGCTAATGGGGCTCAGAATTTCCCTAGCCATTCTGACCCAGAGCATTCGACTTGACCCTCTCACGGCAGGCTCTGTGCTGAGACAGTAAGCTGGCTTCCTGCGATGTAGTGAAGGCAGGCTGTTCGCTAATGGGCACCGAGGGTTTACACCACACGACCTGACTTCGCTTCCCAACATGGGCTCTGACTCTTGACCCGAAACCCAAGGCCCTTGACCTCAAGGATGATTGAGAAGATGAGTTTAGTCAACCTGGCCAGGTGTTTTTAAAGCTTGAAACGAAAATAGGAGATACAAAGGTATTTGCCTACTCATCAATTACCTCCTTATTTGGCAAATATGGAGTGTGGGAAACCCACAAACAAGAGGGAGACCTGCAACGTCAGACAACGGACTGAACTCCTCCTCCCTTTCCCTTCAGTGAAGAAAGAATATGCTGGTTCTACATGCCCCATGGGCCTTGGTCACCTCACCCTGTGCTTGCTTCTCTCCTGCTTTCCCAGTGTGGCTGACAAGCCAGAGCCAAATGCATTCACAAAGTGTGGACGAGATTCCCCATGACCACGGTTGTCTTTGGTTTGGTTTTGTCGTTGGCAAGATTTTGTTTCTACATTTCCCCCTCTCTCTCCCCCTTTCTCTCTTCCTCTCTCTCTCTCTCTCTCCCTCTCTCACCCTCTCCCTCGCTCTCTCTTTCTCTCTCTCTGGACAGGACTGGCGAGTGCCAATACAACCGAGGGCTCTTGGACTCCAATGCATTCACCTGGTGGCACATTGGCTGGGTCCCTACCTGTGACTGCACGTTGGCTCCAACCTGGGCCCCTTGGTAAGAGTCCCCATTGAGTGACTGCACGCCCATGAACAAATCTCCAGAGTTTGACATGTTAAAAGAACTGGAAGAACCTGGAAAGGAAAGAGTGAGGCACCTGAATCACAGAAAGGAAAAGGCTCAACCCCTGCAACTAACAGCCAAGAGGAAGAATGACATGCAAAGCAACCCCCCCAAATAAATACTAAAATAAAAATAACATCAACAGAGTCTGGTTAGTAGCATGAAGAACAGAGCAAGCAATAAAGGGTGCATATCGCTCATGTTATGTGAAGCCACATCTTATTGCAAGTTGTCAATAGGACTGTGTCCCCTTAACGACTTCAAGCTGAGAAAGGGAGTATTTATTTGCATTTATTCTTCTCAACTTAGTCTATTTGAATTGGAAATGGTCTCCAGGACCTCTCTTTCATGGCCGCAAAATTCTAGGGGTTGCCAGGGGACCACAAGCTGATTGAATATGGGCTAGTCAATGGTACTTCGGTCACCATGATGGAGTGCACGAGCTATTTGGCTGGTTTCCAAATATGCTATTGCCAACCCATCTGCCCTCACGTGGGAAGCAGCCCTGGTGAGGGAGGGTGGGGAGTGCATGAAGGCAATGCCACACATTAGGGCTGGCCCCGGGATGGGGAGTCCATTGACATTCCTGATTTCTAGAAAGAAGGTCAAGCTCCTTGCTGGGTGGCAAGCAGCCCAAGAGAGTCTCAAGGACTGCAAGAAGAATGTGAGAATGGTGACGTCTTCCCTTGCCACCTGCTATTATGGAGGAACGTGAAACAGAATAATGGGCCCGGAATTCCGAAGCATGCATGAAATATGAAATGCTAATAGTAACACTTACGATAATAATAAAAGTGGGCCTCAAGAAGAGCAGTCAACCATCTGCTTTTCCCTCCCAGAGAAGAAGCCTTCTCCCACATAGTTAGCCTTCAGGCAGCACCCAGGTTGCACTGTGATAAACCCAGCCCACCCTCAGCCTCAACACAAGGGCGTGGAGAAGCTTCTTATTATTCTGAAGTCATCGTGCAGCTCAGCGCATTAGGAAAGAAAGCTCAACGTGCAGGGTTTGGTTAAAACATGACATTAGCCTAGAAAAGGAGAGACCTTAGGGACCCAGGTCAGTTCCACTCTATTTCCAACTCTGTCTTGCTCAAATTGTGCTCTTGTCCTCACATTTTGACAGCCATCATCCGTGCGGGATCACCCAGCAATGATGCCCCAGCTCTGACACTTTCTTAATCTCCCAAGGTAGGAAATTGCGCTCTCCTAGAGGGCTATCTCCCGGAGCTCAAGAGAAGGCTTTTTCTGTGCTGTAGAAGAATCACTTTACTAGCAATGAATTCTGCACTCTGCCACTCTGCTCTGTGCTGAACTGCTCATAGGATCCTCATACTTCCAAGGAGGGAGCCATTTTGAAGAACCAAATGGTTCACTTGGGGAGATCCTCAAGGTAGGAAACATCTCTGTTTTTCTTTGTTTTGGGGATGTCCACCCACACGCAAGAACTAGCTAGCTCTTGTGCTGCATAAGCTGATCCTCCACTCTCTGTTGTCATGGCAAGAAGGGAATGCTTTCTTTGTGGGGGCGGGAGGGCGACTCGAGCCGGCCTGCATGTCCTATCAACATCCTTCTCAACCCTTCTTTTAATCAGACCTACAACCTAAATAATAAGAGCCATTTTGTCATCATTCTTACAACACAAACTCACATTTAGGTGGCATCAGAACCAGGAATTGTTAGCTCCAGGACCCCAAATTATAATTGTTTATATAATATCAGAACTTTTTGCCCCACAAGAGTATTCAGTTTGATGCCCAGATACTTTCTTTCTCTCCCAAATACCATGTAGTAAACCCACATTCCTTATGCCTGGCTGACGGTTTGTTGGAAATGAGCACACAGGCTGAGAAACGGGAGAAACCCCCAAAGGGCTGCGTTGGTGCCAAGGAACATGGCATCCATGGAACCATGAAGGTATGGGATGTGCCATTTACAAGATACACACTGCAATTGACACAGATGATTTAAAAAATATATGTGCATGGATAAATTGTAAATATGTCTGGCTGCCTAACATACATAGAGATAAATATGCGCATATCAATGGCTTTCATGTACAAATGCATTTGAATCAGAGTAATTGCAGGAATTGTCCCTGTGCTCTTGCCTCTGCCATTCTGGCATTCTGTTGTCTCTGCACGGCCCCGTACTACACGACCACGGCTTCTGACTCTCTGACAAGTAACCAGAAGCAGGGATGGCTCTGAGAACAGGCCAGGGGCCACGAACACCACAAGAAAGCAGACAGAAGCCCGCACAAAACTCGAAATGAGGAGAAGACATGTTCTTCATTGGGCACTGGGAGGGAGAAAAAACTCGTCACAGAATGGACAACTTCCTGAGAAGGATGTACCCTTGACAGACAGCGAATGGGCTGTCTCGGAGGTGCTGCGAGGTCTCAACTCCTACGGAATTACCTGGCTTGCGGAGAAGGTCCGTCAAGAACCTCAGCGGCAGGTGGCTGGAAAGTCATCAGCAATTACCGGAAGCACATTTTAAGATGTGCTCGCCAGTTAAAAGGTTCTCAGTTTGGTGTGGGAAGGGAGGCAAGTGGCTCGTGTAAGCTGTCACCCAGACATCTGGGACACGTACAGAGCTAAAGCTGCACTCCACGGGAAATAATGGATCACCTCTGGATTCTAGTGCACTGGCTCGGGCAAATATGACAACTTGGAGATGTGCTAACATCCATTTTCATAAGATCATTTCCTGAAGGCTGCATTTTCTAAAGAGTCTTTAGGAGACTTCAATTTGTTCAGGGGAAAAAAAATAAAACAACAATTCACTTCATCATCTCCCAAAAACCCCAGAATACTAATGATAACATCTAAACTTAGAGCGAGGTTTCTGGACATGGGCACTATTAACATCTGGGGCTGGAAAAGGGCTCATCGTGGAGGAACATTCTATGTACTGTAGGATGGTGGTCAGCCACATCCCTGGCCTCTAGTCACCGGAGGCCAGTAGAATCTGCCTCCCAAAACCCTGATGACCAAATGTCTCCAAACACTACCAAATGTCCCCTGAGGTACAAGTTCACCCTGTTGAGAACCAAATGACATAGAATAAGAGAGGCTTACTTTTTCTTACTGAGGAACTCAAAGGGTTTAAAAGGATTGGCTTGTTATTCCTCAGAGCATTTTTATGAAGCAGATGTATGACAAGTATTGCCTTCATTTTGCAGTTTTGAAATCAAGGCTCCTGAGAGACTGGGTGGCAGCCAATCAGACTAGACTCTCAACACCATTTGGAGGCTCAAAAGATGGAGCCTCTTTGCTAGATACAACTTCTTTATGTCTCCGGCTTGCTTCTCTTATCTTCCATGATTATTCCCCTTCCAAACTCCAAAAATCATTGTTACTTTCTACCCAGGACAAGGCCCAAGAGAGAAAGGCTGTCTGGTTCGACAGGAAACCCCTTTAGAAGGTGCCCGTGGCAAGGTTCTAGAGTTCCAATTCCGGCAGGCTGTGTTTTCATTTTCTACTTAGAAATTAAGGGAAGAAAGAACACAGCAGAAAATATCCATGGGATACATTCTTTCACTTGGTTTAAAAAAAAAAAATTCTAAGAGTTCCTATGGATTTACTAAGTGTCAGCCAACCTCCCTGGATGTGTTACCTCCTCTCTAACTGTGTGTATTATATACATAAACTTCTCTTAGGAAGCCAGAATCTAGGGGGTTTTAATACGATCATCTTCCTCCAATCCAGAAAAGTGCCAAACCTTCTATTAGGGGGTGCGACAAAAATGTACAAGGGCTTGCCCCTAACTAAATAGTGCCAGAAGAAAAGCTTTCATGGCCGAGCCTGCTGATGCCCTTGATACACACACACAGAGCCAGCAAAGGAAGATTCAAAGTGGGGGAGGGAGTCCTGAGCCTCAATAAGCTTGCGATTGCTTCGCTGATCACAGAATCTAATCAAATATCAATGCTGATGCTAAGCCACAGCAAACATCTGCAAGGCCCAAGCCAATTTCCTTCTTCTTGGATGCTAAAATGTTCTCCAGAAGATAACCCAACCTTCCAAAAGGGGCCCCATTTTTCTGAGACCTTACTCCTGCTTTTCTAAGCTCATCAAAAATAGAAATGAGAAAGTGTCCCTCCAGGGGACTGCAGAAGTATGGACCCAAGGTTATAATGATTGCTTCAAATGGCCCCCATTTTTGCTTTTTTTTTCTCTTGAAAACTTAATTTTCTTCTCTTCCTTCTATTCTCTCTCTTTGTTCCAGCCACTCTGCCTGACTCTGCTGGTGTCAAATATGAAGCATGCCAAGTATCTCTCTTTACATGCTTGCTTGTCCCCCACGGGTCCTTGTCCGCAGTGATTTTAATGAATTATGCTTAAGGAAATAGGAGATCAGGCATATATCAACAACTAGGAATATTCAGAAGTGACCTAAGTAAAGACACTGAAGAACTGCTTGTCCACACAAAAGCCTCTAGAGGGAAGAAGATTTACTTGCCAAGTATCTTCTTTGCAATAGAAATGAGTATGTATATTCAGTAAAGCTTCTGGGAAAGAAAAAAATACCCTGCTTCAATATTAAGGATCTAAAAAGTTCCCAGGTTCCAGAACTCTTAGACTTCAAAGTCAGCCAAAATACATTTTCACATATTAACCTCTTATTTAAAACTGGTATCTATTTCAGTGATCCTTTATCCTTTGGAATTATCAAGGAGCTAATATGCAACATCATAAGCACCCTATGTGAAAAGTTTGAACACTTTAAAGCACTCACTTCATCTGTGCAATGCTTTGGGTTGTGATAAGAACAAAGGAAAATACAGAAAAGCCCGTGTATAACTTTTCTGTTAAAACGTTAATGAATGAAAATCCCACGCTATTGCACATATACAATAGTATCTTCTTTTGTCTCTACTGTAGAAAAAAAAAAAGCACTACAAAGGGGTTCCTCTGCATATTATTTCCAACAATTTAGGCACAACTAGAAGGCTTAGCTCAAATTTTCCATAATAATTTACTTTGTGCTTACAATAGTCACCTAAGTTTAAGCTAGCAGAAAAATTCTTTAGAAAACTGTAATCATTGACTGACATTCCAAGAGAGCCAAAATAATTCCTAAACACAGAGCGGGGGGTTAAAACGCTTACTTTTCTTTTTTTAAGTGCTTTAGAAAAGAATAAAAAGTTACGGCTTTAGTAATGAAGGGAGTCCACAGGGCCCTTCTAGGGACTAGTCATAAATCATGCTCAACCATCTGCAATGCAGATATATCAGGGACAGGAAAAAGTCATTTTTATATCTGTTTTGCATTATGACAACCTTTGCAGGAGTGGTGAGTGTGTTTCTGCTAATGTTGACAGGGCTGTACTTCTTCCAGAGACAAGTGAACACGTCTGCCTAGCAGTGCGATTCAACCAGTGTTGCCGGGAGTCTGAAACGCTTAATAGTTGACCAGATGGGGAAGAAGGAAACTCTCTGGTTACCGAGCCTCTGAGCCTTAATCCTTTGTCAATCATGCCAGGAGGGGGAGAGAAGGAAATACACACACACAAACCTCAAAAGGTAAATATGCTCCTCAGAGTTATCCAACCTGGTGTGCTAGGAAAAATATATAACTAGATTGAATTCTACACTGTCTTACCATGTCCATGCTTACAAAGCCCAGGCCACTCTTCATGCATGATTCCATTTAAACAAAAGAAAGCCATGGTGGTACAGCCCAGGGACTTGGGAGAACCTTATAACAAATTAGGGCATCTAGAAGCTCACAGAAGACGTTAGAGTGTGGAGCCTTACAGGCTTCCAGTAACAATCCACCATAAGGTAGAAAGAGAATTTATTTTAGTGAACAAACAAGCTTCAGGGTCAAAGGCACTTCCCAGAAATGTTAGAAATTAGATTTTTAATCATCTTATGGTCAAACATTTAAATTTGGGACCCTTCAAGTTGGAGGCATCCGTTTTCTTAGATGTGCATCCCAAGCCCAAAATCATTGCAGCTGGTTCATTATAATGAATAACCTGAGACCAAAATTATTTAATAAGGAAGTATTTCTGGGTTTCCCTTACAAAAAAAAAAACCAAAAAAAGTACCAACATGCCTTCCATAGCATACAAACACTAAGGTTATCGTTTATGTATTAGCGACTATTTTTTTTCTTGTGTGGAAATTCAGAACTGGTGGTACTAGGCAAACCCCAAAATGTATTATGTGTTAGCCTAAACTCTGAAGTTAGTGATATAATGCACATTTACTAAAATAAAACCAGGGGCAGAACACATGACTAACATTATAATAGGAAGACTGGAATCTAAATAATGTGAATTAATTTGTTCTTCATAGTTTACATAAAGAAACCAACAAAATCAGAAAGTGAAGAAAAACAACTCTAAACAATGTATAGCAGTCATCCCAGTCTGGCTTTGCAGACCAGAGCATTATAATGAGGAATATTCCTGCAGACAGTGTATGCTAATAGGTCACCCAAACAGTATGTGATGGGAACAGCAAAATAGACAAGGATAAAAACTTTATATGAACCAGACTAAATGCCAGAGCCCCCAAGGGACTATGCCAAAGTATTAGATGTAGCTCATTGTCATCTTAGAAAGGAGAATGTGAAGGTCTTTTCATCAAAACCAGCCAATTTGGGTCTGTTCAACTTAAACACGTTAGCGCAAACCTCCAGACAAGCCCATCTTACAAAGAGTAAAACACGCTGCTCTTTGGAAATGAGAGGAAACACCCCAAGTGGCATCAACAACAAAAAGGGACAATCAAATACATAAGTCAACCAATCAGAAACCTAAAGAATGAAAAGAAAACCCCAATGTAGGAAAAACAAGTACAAAAATGGAGCACGATCCCCCCAAATCAAAGAAGAAACTAACCAGCTGAGTTAGGAGTCGAGGGTGAGTTAGCTTGGCTTCCATGGGCTGACACATTGGTAGCAGTGACAGCCGTTTTGGCAGCATAAATATTGGCTTCCTCTTGAAATTTACCTATGTTCTTCTTGTACCGGATTCGCTTATTTCCAAACCAGTTTGATACCTGGAGCAGTTAAAGAGAAGAGAAGAAAGTTAACATTCCGTCCTGCGCCAGTTTGATACCTGGAGCAGTTAAAGAGAAGAGAAGAAAGTTAACATTCCATCCTGCGCAAACATCTCAGAGGAAAAGGAAGGTACTGGAAGGGCTGGAGGCAGGCTGCACGGGCTGATCCTATTCTGATTTTGCAACATCAATGAGAAGATCTGAAGGAAGGGCACCAAGAGGGACCCTTGCACACAATGCAGTTCTCCTGCTTAATACAACACCATTTAGCAAAAACAACGCAGCAAAACATCCTACGGAGGAGCTGCTCGTTTGGATTTGGATTTGGACAATTTTAGTTTAGGACAAGCATTTTAAAACTGCTTACCTCTTAAGAACACAACACCAAAATAAACATAGCATTTCAGGAGAAATGTTACATATCAACGCTAACACTGACTTTGAGCAATCAGGAGGCACAGACGTGTAATCATCCATACAAATCTGTATCGACATACAGGTGCTCTCACTGAAGGATTAATTTCAAATTTTTAGAAGCTGAATAATGCTAATATGGACTAGATTCTTAGCTGCAGGTACTGTGGACCTTAGGATCAAGATAATCCGATCGGATAGTTTTCACCAAGTATTTTGTAGCAAAGCTTGGTGTTATCTACATGAGGAAAAACTGAAGCATACCAGAGATTAGTCCTTTGAATTCCAGGCTTTACATGTTAAAGCCAATACATAAAATAAACCTAATTTACTTTCATTTTTTCATTTATTTCCTTCATGTGGCTCACGGCAGCCGTCCTGGCTTCATTCTGCATCGCCGTTCCCTTTACACCAAGACCCCTGCCAGACCCAAGGGGCGACCCAGTTAAATTCAAGTTTTACCCCCATCATTCCTGCCTTACGAGGAACGCTTTATACCCCATCGTCCAGATGTGATTTCAAACTAAAATGTTGTGTGTTTTTTTTTAAATAAAATTACAAAACAAACTATGAGTCTGGTGAGGGAAGAGAAAGTTGGTAACACATGTACCACAGCTGACACGTAGTTTCTCTTTACCCAAACAATGGCAGATAAAGGACATTTTTGTAAAACCACAGTTACCTTTTAAATGCATTAGCAAAAGTTAAAAATCTTATAAGGTAAGCCCTCTTCTGCCTGTGTGGCTTATGCCACGGGAGGAATGCCAAGCCTTTGTTATCAAAACCGAACCGTACCATTGCAGTATTAGTAAATGAGAGGAGAAAAATTCAATGAGAAATTGCTTGAGTCATTGTAAATGCTGGTGCCTACAGGAGAGCAAGGGCCATTTTAGGACCACTGCATATCTAATTCCATTCCCAAACTCATGCTTTCCTTGTTATAACTTTTACTATTCGTATGAGGGAGAGGAAAAGAGGCAGCGAGATTTTTCTAAGGTAACTGGATGCATTGGAAAAAAGGGGGAAAGATGAAGGTAGTTTGGGAGGACTTTACAGAAGGAAAGAAATACCTGAGGTCTAGTTAAATAAGCTACTGGAGAAGACAAGAAGGAATGTGTTATGGGAGTGAGTCCCTTCTCAACAAGAAGAACAGATGGGTGGGCAAGATGCTTGGTCAGTTCAGGCATTCCCTACATGGCCCACGAGGTGATACTGGATGTCCTGAGCCATGTACATAATCAGTGCTTTCATTAATTAACTTGCTGTTCATAGTCACGGAGGGTCTACCATGTGCTGGGCACTAGGGACACACAGAGGACAGACACGTCCGAGACAGGTAATATGGAAAAAAATAATCGGTTCTCTGGGGAGAGTTTGATCACATTTCAAACATGTTAAGTCTGAAGAGCCTGGGCAGAGCCAGCTTTGCGCCCAGCGGGAAGGAAGACACATAAGTCAGTCTTAACTGACTGAGCCACCCAGGAGCCCCAAGATGGAGGGGTAATTAGTAACCAAAAAAACTGACAAAAACAACAAAAAACCCAAAAAAACAAAAAAGAAAGAGACAGCCCCAAAATGGCTACAATAAAAAAAGTCCAAAATCAGGATTCCCTAGATTTGGGAACTTAAGGGAGATTTAATAAATCATGTGGTCCAACAAACCATGATTGGCAGATGGGACAACTAAGACCCAAAAAGAGGGAGTTCCCTAAAATCTCACAGTCGACTCTTGACAAAAACATGTTCCTAGACAAATGCTCTTGTTATTGTATCATATCATACTGTCTCCCGCTGGTACTTGTTTGGCAACAGTGGAACAGCTCTGTTGTAGTTGCGAGGGAGTCATGTGATGGGGAAGGAAGAATGGCATGGCCTTAGGGTGGGTGAAGCAAAGGGAAAGGTGATACAGTATGTAAATATTCATTTTAATGGACAAACTATGTGCACCTGAGTTTCCATTACAAAGGAAGTGAAAGTTGCTGGAACAGGCCGGGAGTCCATCTTTGATCTAGATAGAATACAGACCAACTCCAGAAGAGTTCATTCTACCTTCAATAGGGATTTAGAATTCTGAATTCCAGAATTAGAATTCAGACAGTCTAGTGATTTAATTCTACTTTAGAAGCAGAAGATTCCAGTATCAAATTTACTGATGGTCAGTTAGTGATATGGTTCGTGCCTGGAACCATTCCTCAAACAGGCAGCAAATATCAAAAACCATCAAATGTCTTTTCTTGTGGACAAGGGATCTAAAGTTGGACAAGAATGGTTAGAGACCTAGATAAAACCAGGTGACCGGAGTTTGACCACTCATGTTCTGCTTTCCTAGGGTTCAGACTGGAACAACCTTCACCTGGGTCAAAGCACCTGCTGAAGGTCTGAGTTAAAAGGGTTGGTGTTTCCAAGGCTGCTGCAAAACCCCCCACAGCTTGTTGGGGAGGCCCTGGTGAGCTCTTCATTGCACACACTCTGTGTGGAGGTCTATATTCTGACTGGACCTAACTGGGCTTAGCTAAGCACAGGTTGATGGGATCAGCACCCTGCAGGGAGTAACAGAAGCCAGGATTCAATTCAAGGAAGTACAAATGCTCAGTGTATACAAAACAGCATCTATTTTGCTTGGAAAATGCTAAGCGAAGTTTCTTGCTACAGTAGGCTTCTTTCCCCCACTCCCCCACCTCTTTTAGGGAAAGGCCAGTACATATGGTTCTCTTGCATGAGACATATTTCAGAGGAACTTTCTCTGATAGCTTTCAGAACCATCATTACTGTTCTCAGCTAGAGACCAGGGGTGGTATTTGAGGTTCAGATTAAATAAGAAGTTTTGGACAGATCCCTTGAGTAGACAAAATATAAATACATATAAATATTGCCTACTTTTCTACTTCATACTAATGTTGAAGACTCCAGGTCGATAAAAATGTTTTATCACGTACCTTTCCACGTCAAAGGCACCTGTTATGGTTATCGCTCTTTGGGGAAAAGGGGCACCCAGTGACATTTTGTGCAACCATTCCAACGCAATCATAGTGACATGTTAAAATTCCCACACTCCATCAGTTACAGAGCGAGCACATCAAGAGAACACATTTGAGTCCCTTTCACTGAAAAGTTCCATTCACTGACTCCTTCCTGGGTTGGGCACAAGATGGGCTAAGGAATGGACTGTGTTTGAGAAAACAGTATGAGAAATGCGGACAGCTTTCCAAGGACAGGCAAGAACCTTGACCCATTTCTGAAGCAACGGAGCATTCAATGGGAAGAACCCTACCCCTGTTTGTCTACTGTACTCTACTTCTCCCACTTCTGCTGGTCCCTCTCAAGTCTGTCCAGGTACTTACCTGGAAACTCCTACTTAAACACCTCACGTGCTTCCCTGGCCGTGTGAGGGCTTTAGCAAATGGAACCTGCAAGGCATGAAAGCTCAGTAGAGCAACACCTCTGAGACCCCGCCATGTGGCTCCACCAGAGCCAGGCTAGAGGCTGAGCCTTTGGACGGCTCCTCACCTGGGACACTGTGATGCCACACTTCTTGGCTAGCTCCTCTTTGGCTTCCTCACTGGGATAAGGGTTGCTGAGATGGGAATAGAAATATTCATTCAGGATTTCCGTCGCTTGCTTGTTGAAGTTCCGTCTCTTCCGCCTTCATAAAGAGAAAGGAAAGAACGACAAAAAAAAGTTCACACCAAATACATATAAAGAGGGAGAGACGAGAATCTACTTCTGTGAAAAGACAAATTTTTGAGCAAAAAGTGGATTAGAGGAAATTTGCACCAAGGGGCTGGCTGCCAAAGCCGTCACTGAAAGTATCTGCACGCTGTAGAACCAAGGTATGAATTCAGGTCTGCTTAACTACAAAACCCAACCTCGTTCTTACGTACAAATTGCCTCCTGGCAATTACAAAGACTCTGGAGGCTTCCATTAAAAATAAGTTATTATTTTCCCTTTATTCCATTCCCAGGTAAATGCATACAGCATTTTTTTAAAGGCATCTGGGAACAGGGTGTGGAAGGCACTGAAATTAGCCCCCTGGACTGTCTGACCTCCCACAGAAGGAGACAAGTAGCACTTTTCAAGCAAGAACAGCTGCTAAATGGTAAAACAAAAGCCCACAGAAATCTCTTTAATACACAGGTCGCTGAAAGGAAGAGAACCACTTTTTGAATAAAAGCATTTTTGTCTTTTAAAAAAAGTGCTAATTGAACTAATTTAAAGTGAGAATCACTTTACTGCCTCCTCACAGCTAAGGCCCGTAGGCAGCTGGGGGAGCTGTTTGGGGACGCCAGGCTCACAGAAGAAGCTGGTTGGCCCTCTACAAGGCGGTGGGGACTCCACCTTTAAATTAGCTCCATTAGCACTTTGCCTTTCTTGCTTTTATCAAAAGCTTTTTCCTTATGGAAGAGATTTCCAGAACATCCTTGGTTATGCCAGGACACAGGATTTCCCGATTTAGCCCAACAGAAAGCACGGAACAGCCTCGCTAGACAAGAAATTCAGCTACTATTGTATTTTCAGGGTCCCACTTGGATTAATTAACACAATAAAGTGCCTGATTTTGCCGGATGAACACCATCTGTCCATAGGTATTAACCACATCTGTCCAGACTATGCCAAGCCCAAGTCACTTTCCCAAATCATGCTGAGTTTCTGGGTCACCCAACATCAGAAATTGGGCAGAATGGATTAAAAAAAAAAAAAAAAAAAGCCCAACTCAAAAAATGGCATTTGTTAAAAGTCCTTGTCTGCTGGGAATTTGGGGGAAGATAGCCAAGCGGCCAACATGGGCTCCAGGCCAGGCTTTAGATAACCTTTGGCTTCTTCTCTGCCCAAAGAAAACAGTTGTCTTAGGCCTGGGGAACTGGACCCTGAAGGCTCCCCTAATTGGGAGAACCTCGGTTCATTCATTCAGCTGTCTGCATTAGCATCACACTGTATTTTTTGGGAGTCTTCCAACTGAGCTCAAAGGAAGCCTCCCTGGAATGAGCTGGTGGTACGGGGCTGGTGCCGACAAGCTGTTCCTGACTCTCTTCTCACACTGCTGTGCAACATTCCCTGGGCGGTCTCATCGACTCTGATGGGCTCCCTTATCACACTGCTCTCAGTGCCTGTCTCCACGGAGGACCTTGGAAATCCCAAGATCAGGACTTTTCAGGACTTCAGGACATCTAGTGAAAAGGAGACACTTCTGACCATAAGGTTCTTTAAGCTAGACACCTGGCTTTGGCTTGAAGTGGTATCAGCTTGGTAAGTTAACATTTGTGACTTCGAGCCAATCAAAAGCCTTGGGAGTTAGGTATCTGGGTGTTTAATGTTAAGGAATGTGGAGGATGATCAAATACTGGATAAATGTGGCATTTTAGGAATGAAACCTTTTGAATCAGAGTGAGTCAAGAGTGGGAGGTGTAGGCACCCCAGACACTGTTGCTAAACACCAAATGCATTACCTCCTGCCCTGTCGACTCTCCTAAGAGTCACTGCCCGTCTACAACCACAATTCCCAGGCACTTCTAACACACTCTGTATCTCCAAAACTCGCATCGCATTTCACCCAAACCAGCTCCATTGTCTTCCTTCCCCACATCACCATGGACATGGTACAGTGTGTCTAATTTGTTCATCCATTTGTTCATTCAAATATTTGAGTACCTAGCAGGTGCCAGAACCTAGGGGTGGTTCTTAACCCATCCTGCTGTCTTACCTTCATCAGATGATGATGCCCCAAAGCAAACCCTGTCAGTTCTATTCTTTCAAATCCAACCCTTTTATTCCAGCCTATTGTCACTCTATTTTTCAAATGGGTTCAGAGAAGCCACTCTCTATCATGTAATGGTCTGGCTAGTGCTGCACGGTGGTGCTTTCAGCAATAATGGGAATGTTCTAGATTTCTGCTTCCCAGTCTAGCAGACATGAGCCTGCTTGTGGCTACTGAGCAGCTCGAATGTGGCTGGTGTAACTGGAGCGGTACATTCTGAAATTTTATTGATTTCAATGTAATTCAGTTTGCATTAATTTAAATTTAAAAATCAAATAGCCACTTACCAGACAGTGCAAACTCTAGACCAATGCATTCCAGAAACACTTTCTGGAAGGCGTGAACTCACAGCCCTGCTACACGCCATCAAAAGCATGAAATGTCTCTCAAACCTCTTGCTTTAGTCTATTCTGTAATGTACACAATGTTTATCTTTAAAGGAAAATGATCTTCCCCTGCATGTTTAAGTAAAATGGGGAAGGTACTTCATACTTATTCTGTGTTCACCCAGTTTGAGGAGCATGGGGGCTTTAATAGTGGGGTCCTACTGTGTCCCCTGTCCCATTCAGCTCGTCCTCAAGAGAAGCACTACAGTAATTCTCCCAGACCATGGATCTGATCATGTCACAATAATAGTAATGGTAATGATAATAATAAAATATAAATACAATAAATAAGATAATAAGTAATATGTAATGTGGTGATCCCTAATATATTAAGGAAGCACTGTGTGAGTTATGGTGTGAATACCATATTCCAACCCTATACTAATTTTTTTTTTCTTCCTATTATCTTATTTATTCCTGTGCATAGGATTAGCCCCATTTTACAGACAAGAGTCTTAGGGAGGATAGGCCACTTAGCCCGCCTTACAAAGGATGCCAGAATTTGAACCCAAGCAGTGAAGTTTGAGAACTTAAGCTCTAAATGACGGCATTCCCTCCTTAAACAGCTCTGACGGTTTCTGCTGTTTCTCAGGACAAATTTGAAGTCTTCACGGCTACAATTAAGGGTCTTCAGTGGACCTTCCTATCCCTAGTGCCTCATCTCCTCCAGTCCTAAACACGTTCTGCACAACTTCGTCTAGCCACATCATATGCTTGCTTCTCCATGCCCCCAAAGACACTCGTGACTTATGCACCCGTGCCTCTTCACACCAAGCTGTGTATTTCTCTCCCACAGCATTTGCCACAGGTTTACCTAGGTCTCCCCGGCTAAACAAGTTCCTCAAGGGAAGGAGCCACGTGTCCCTCATCTTTGAAACCCTAGCGCCTCACACACAGTAAGCATTCCAGCTAAGTAATGCTTGTTGATGTTGGCTTACGTTGTTTCACTTTGCCCATGGTAGTCTTTCTGTTTGGCAAACACACTGCTCGCTCTGGGATCCCAAACTGTCTGCCCTCTCCCACATTCTGCCACCCCCTCAGGCAGCACTGGGAGAGGTACTTCACAAGGAACATGCTATTTTATGTTCACTCATAAGAGTGTCTGTTTGTCCCACAAGATTATGAGCTCCTTGAAGGTAAGACCCATATTTATATGCTGTTTTTTTCCCTCTTAGTTCTTCTAGTGGCTACTACAGCATCCGGCAGAGAATAAAACTCAATGAGATAAATCAGTCTAAATAAAGGCCAGTCGGCCCAGACCTTCCTGCATGTCCTTCCCTCTCGTTGCCTGCCTTCCACTTTACTACTTCATTTAATACAATCCCTCTCTCGGGGTGAAATGAAGAGGTGTCTTCCCAGCTGTTTATCCTCTTATTGTTGCCTCCAGCAAAATGTTACTGAACAGAAATTAAAATTATTGCTTGAAAATCATTAAGAGTGTGTGTTAGGTTCTCTCTCCCTCTCCTTCTTTCAACTGAGAAAACTGTGTTGAGGGTTCTGACAATAACTTTACCAAGTTTGATAGCACAATGTTTGGGCCATAGCATGAGATAATAAATGCAGAATGAATGAATGAATGAATGGGTGGACGGATTTTTTTTCTGGCACAATTAAGTCAATGTAAGGAAGAGAAAAGGATATGACTTGAATGGACAAACCTGGACCAAGCGCTTAGCTGAGGAGTATGGAAGGCAGAATCCTAAGAAGGTACCAGATTCCAGCCTGGCATCCGCGCCCTCCCCCGAGTATGGGTGGGGCTGTGACAAAGGAAGGATATCCATCCTGTTAGTTTAGGGAAATTAGGTTAAAGCCTTAAAATGGTGAGATTCTCTTGCTGGCTTCCAGGAACAAAGCAAGCAGTAAAGACGTGAGCTGGCCAGGGGGAGCGAATGGCTTCTGGGAGCTGGGGACCTCAAGGAACTGAATTCTGCCCACATCAGGAATGAGCTTGGAAGAGGACCCTGAGCCTCCGATGAGATCATGGGCTCTGCTGACACCTGGATTACAGCTTTGTGAGACTAGGGCTCAGGATCCTGTTGAACTGTGCCCAGATGCCTAAACCACAGAAACTGTTCAATAATATCTTTGTGTTGTTTTAAGCTGCTAAATTTGCGATAATCTGTTAGGTGGCAACAGAAAACGAAGACAAGGAGTATTTTGTAACAAAGTAGCACCATTCGATTCCACATGCCTGTGACATTACAATGACTAATGCTGTTACTAAGTCAAACTCCCCTTGTATTTCATTTGTCTTCCACCAAATCCTTCACTGATGAAGCCCTGCCCATCAGATACACGTGGCTATCAGCACCGGTTTCTCTTTCTTACTGAGGTTTGTTTAGCTAGCTCTCTAACTACAGCACTGGAAGCAGTGATAGAAACTATCCCAATCACGAGGTCTGGGTAAACATTTCTTTTTTGAGCCCGGAAAGCCATTTGCTCAGCCGTGGGCTGGCATTTGGAGTTACACTCTTTCACCGATACCAAATATACCCTCAAAATAAGTGCTAGTAACAATGACAAAAGCTTAGTTGTTTTAGTTCGGAGACTTGGCTCAGAGGCACTGAATCAAAGGTTGCAACCAAAGCGGGAAAGAGACCCTCTCGTAAGTGATTGTTCTTCTGACGCCAACTGGAACCATCTAGGCGAAGGCTGGTGGAAGTGACAGGAACCGTGTACAAAGCTCGCCCAGTTTTGAGCCTGACCTTCAACTGCACACAGCACAGTTACCTCGAGCAGAAATTCAACAAGACAAGGATTCCGCCTCTCCCTTCTCCCCGGGTTCTCTCTGGATGAGAATCCAGTCTGGGCCCGACTTTTCTCTTTTTCAGTATCTGTCCACACAAATACCAACTCCAGAATTTTAACTAGGGTAGTTTCCATGGGGATGGAAGCAACACACGCAGAGGGGCGTGGTGGCCAAACAGGCACAGGACCCAGACAGACGCCACCAGCCACTTGCACTCTGCACTCAACTGCTTTCAAGAAGCCGGGCTGGCAGCAGGTCGCGAGGCGAGGGAGATACATGGGGGCCCTGCTGCAGGGAGACTCTGCCTCCCCACCCCCCCAACCCCCATCACCATGCCCAGCTGGATAAAACTCTCTTTGTGAGAACTTTCTCTTGACTTACCCTATAGAATTCTGGTGGCCCAGAGATGCATCTCGCTAGCTGGTTCTCTCAACTCATATTCCATGTGACCCAAAACACACTGAATAAAAGGGACTTTAGGAGATGACGGGGAGTTTTAAAGAGGTCTGTGGACTGCAATAACCACAGTTGTGAACAGAGAGAAATACAGGTAAGCAGGCTGAATAATGCATGAGTTCGGGGGTGAACAACTTTGACAAGGAGCAGCGAATCTTTCCGTCTCATTGAAAAGGGACAAAACTGTAGATCATGAAATTGCACACGACTCTGACACACGTGAAGTTCTACTAACTGAAATCATAGCCTGGGATGATTTTTAGGAATTGAAGTAATGAATGGTGAAACCTGCATTTATAGAAGCTGGCTAATCTGAGACGGGCCGTCGATCGCGAAGGACGCCCACACCCTGAAAACATGTCTGCTAGATCAATGATTAAAACCCTCCTCCCGAGTATATGAAAGATAGGATTATCACCATCTTGCAGGCTGCATATCAAAAATTAAAGAAACCAGAAGGATCTGGATAAATCCACTGGTCTAGAGAGTATGGGCCAAGAACTGATTACTGGTTCTCTGTTCTCAGTTTTTATCTTTTTTTTTTAAGAGGACCTCTCTTCCTTTTTTTTTTTTTCAATTTTATTTATTTGTCAGAGAGAGAGAGAGAGAGAGAAAGCATGATTCGGGGAGGGGCAGAAGGAGCAGGAGAAGCAGGCTCCCCACTGAGCAAGGAGCCCGATGCTGGACTCGATCCCAGGACCCCAGGATCATGACCTGAGCCAAAGGCAGATGCTCAACTGACTGAGTCACTCAGGTGTCCTGAGGACCTTTCTATCCAGGGTTTCTTCGACTGAATTCTATGAACTCACAAGTGAGGTCACGAGTAACAATGCCAGATGGAAAACATCAAACCCTGATTGAAAATTTGGCGCATGGCAGACCAGCCCCTGCTCCTCCGGGCCCACGGGACCAGGTCCTATTCGTCTTTGTGCTCCGGAAACTTAGCTCAGAGGATGCCACACGGCGATCTACTTAAAAATATTTGTTGAGCTGAACTCAGTGCACTCTCTACCTGTCTGTAATGCAGAAAAGATCACAGCTCTCAAGCTGCACCGTCTTTCTGGAGAACGTGGGTCATGGCGGCATCCAGTGAGGCCGCCCCAGCCCAGAGCTACAACACACACCTGTAAAAGGGGTACTGAGTGGGATGAAAATACTGTCATTGCTCTCACCCACCTCAGTCACCCCTGCTTCTCACTCAGAGTGAGTAGCAGGGGTAAGAGAAAGCATCCTCTCTCATCACATGGTTTCCTATTTGGAGCTGTCCAAAACCATTGGCTTATGGAGTCTTGGCAGTCTCCCTCCCCAGACCCTAGAAGCTTCTGCAGGCTGCCATTCTGCTTGGCCTTTGACATGGTGAAAATGCAGCTTTTAGAGAGGGACAGGTGTGGGTCCCAACCCTGCATCCGGGATCCCCCCAGGGGACAGGTGGCCCCATCGGTGACTCACCGCGCATCCAGAAACCGGGAGCGCAGGATCATGACGGCCTCGCATGTGCTCTGCTTGAGCTGCATCTGGATGGAGCTGAACTTGCGGTGAATGATGCTGACCATCCGCTCAATCTCCTTTGGGGAGATGGGCCTGGTCCGGCTCTGCTCCCGCAGGAGGTTCATCACATGGGTGGTAAACTCGTTGCATGCCTGGAATGGCAGGACAGTAAACACCGGCGCGTGTGGAGGGTCCGGGCCTGGACGGAGGGCCGCGTGGGCTTTTCTAGAGACTCGCACACGTGGAGACAACTCAGCTAGTCTGTGGGGGTTTTGTCACAACCGAGGGGTAAAATAAATGACTGGCCTAGAAATACCTTTCATCCTGTTTGACTCTAACTTTGGCCATGATTGAGATTTTTCTAAAGGGTAAAGAGAAATCTTAATCATTTTTTTTCCATGTATTTTACTACAGTGAAAGGCTGGGACCATGAATCCTAGTATAAAATACACCCCACAACCCTTTACCCCAATGTTAACAGCCAAAGAGAGTTTGGGGTCAGATACAGCACAAACTTCTACCTTGCTCATTATCTCTGATATATTAGAACCTCCACATGTCCAGTTTTGGGATGCGTCAACAGCCCGAAGGACAGAATCATGAAATTAAAAGCTAATTCTTCCAGGAGATTTCTCATCCACCTATTTCTCCTTTCAGTTTTATTACGAGAATTCCCTCCTCTGCTGGCCTGCTGAAGACCCACTATATCCACAACAGAAACTGGAATCTGTCCTCAGAGGCCTTGTAGAAGTAGCATCAACACATGATGGAGAGAATTCAGGAGCCATCCCTGCAGAAAGGAAACCTCTCCAGTTAGACCCACATACCATCAGCTCCGGAGGTGAGGTTAAAGATCGCTTTGCCCCCTGCCTCCTTATTTTCCAGGTGTGTAAACTGTGTGGGTGGGGGGCAGAGGAGGGCCTTCTTCCTAAGGCCCACAGCAAAAAGGGAGCAGTCGAGCCAGGACCCGAACACTTCTTATTCCAAGCTGGGGACTTCTGTCCTTTCCCAGAGCCCAAACTTGCTCCTCTGCACACCACTGGCCTTCCTTGTGGTGACTATTAGTTAACATTTGAAGTCTGCTTTCCTTAGCGGAGCCCTCAAATGAAAATATCTATTCACGGGTTAACCTACAGTAATGTTATAAGACTATATTAGATTTGTAACGGAACAGACAAGATGGTCTTTCACAGTCGAAGAACTAGGGACTCAAAGGGCTCCAACTTAATATCAATACCAGAAGCACACTCATTAATGATAACACTGCATTTACAGCACAAAGCCTCTCTCCTATCTGTCAGGAACGCAGTAACAACGACACATTCACTCCTTGTTTCTCTAAGAAATCCTTCGAGGTTGGTCGGCCAAAGATAGCTCGGCAGATGCATCCGCCAGGCTGCATCTACACTGGGGACTGGGAGGCCTGGTCTTCGAGCCCGCCTCCATGAGTGTCTGGGCAAAGCCTTTCACCACTCGGTGCCTCATTTTATTTGTCGGAGGGATTGGATTCAATCATTCCTACCCTTGAGCAAGGCCAGCAGCGCCATGGTCTTGTACAGTGACCTGCGGACGAAGTGAACTGTGCTCACGGACACAGCAGAGTGGGCAAGAGGGGCCTGGACGGCCCACATACAGACGCTGTCTCTGGGACTCACTTCACTGTGGGACCTTGGAAAGTTACCTAACCTCTCTGGGACTTGCCTTCCTTATTTGTGAAATAGGGGTGGCAGTACCCACCTCAAAGGGTATAGTAAGGGTCAGAGGAGTTACTAGGTGTGTGTCTGGCTATGTGAGGATATATCCGGGCGCCAGTTTCCCTCTTGGTAAAATGAAACAGGGTCATGATTACCTTCTTTCTCCTCTGCAGGCCCATGCTGAAGATACATCCATAGATCAGATCCATCTAGCATTCTGCTCTCCACCAAGAAAATTTCTATATAAACACCAGATCTGTATGATAAGCTTCTTCCCTGCCGACCCACCCCCCACTTATAAACAAAGAGAGGGACATAAGACATGGCATTGAATCGATTCTAAGAGGCCACAGGGTGGGGAGTGCAGGGTTAGGCACAGAGCAAGCATCCCGACCAGCTCCATGGGCAAACACGGCCCCTCGCTGGCCTGCAGCCTCCTCACCTGGTGGGGGCTCCAACAGGGGAGGGGCTGGATGTGAGGAGGCATTGTCAAGTGTACTCCTCTCCGCTGGGAAGCCCCAGTGCTGCGCTAATAATAACGTGCGTCATTACAGGGAATAAAAATACTCACAGTATCTGATGTTTATTCAAGACATTTTATCCTGGAGTCCTTTCTGCTCTGCCACAAACAGACAGTGGGGTCTTTTCACCCACTGCTGAGGTGGGAACAAGGCAGCTGCTGAACAGCTGCTCAGGAACACACAACAGAGAGCGGAGACCAGTTCCAAGTCCATTTTAGACGGACAGGACATAACGATCCAGGTCTTTCCAGGAACGACCCACACCACGTCCTCCTCAGGTCCTGCAAGCTTGTGGCTTTGGAAGCCGGGCTGCCTCTGTTAGGTCCGGCATTCCCGATACGACAGTTGGGGTGACAACTGCTAATTAAAGAGAACCCTCACGGGCTGGAATTTCTGAGACAAGGGGATGAGGGCAGGGGGCGGGGAGCCTCTGCTGTGGACAGTCATAAACGCAGTCATTTTCGAGAGCTGCCATGCACCCCAGGTGCCCCTAAGAGAGTCGAGGATTTCAAAGGGAAATCCTTCGAACCTTGCCCAAGTTCCAGGTCAAGGGCATTCCTGGGAGCCACTGACTAAAGACCAGCCCTCTCAGAAGGTCCCACTCAAGATGCCAGAGTTTTAAGCTTCCCTCCTGCACTCTGGTTAGCCCGTCTTCTTCCCTTCCTCCTTCAAACTGGATTTGGTGCCAATCTCAGCAAAGAACATAACGGGGATTTAGGATTCTTTTTAGCTGTGAACCGACTAACCCAGCCCGGTTCAGCCCTACAGATTTAGCCTCACCCAGGCCCCAGCAGCATTACTTCTCAAAGCTGGAGAACCCTGCAAAGCCACAAGCATCCATTTTTTAAATGACACTTGGAACAAAATTCAGCCTTCTGACATCACGGTTTTATCTATTAGAAGATACCAGCTCTTAAATACCTTACTACCTCCATGATCTGCTATAAAAGCGCTTTACCAACACCATTTACTGTAATAAAATAATTTCCTTCCTTTCTTTCTAATGAAAATCTCTAGAAGCTTTCTTTATTTAATAACCTCAGGGTGAAACAATGGCTGATTCAGATAGGTGGTTCTTTTTTTTTATAAGGGATGGGGTTGAGGAGGGCCATGATACCTAATTAGCAGAAAGCTAATTGATGGTCTAGTTACCTATCACCACCATACTAAAAACGTTTTAAAACGAACAAAAATAACAGAGTCAACGATTAATAGCCAATTTGGCAACTTCATTCATTCAAGTACTAAAGTAGAGAGCAACGTTTTTACTTTACTGAAGTTTCCTGATTTTATTTTATTTTATTTTTATTTTTTAAAGATTTCACTTATTTATTTTAGAGAGAGAGAAAGAGAGAGCTTGAGCGGGGGCGGGGGGGGAGGGACAGAGGGAGAGAATCTCAAGCAGACTCTCCACTAGCATGAAACCTGGTGCAGGGCTTGATCTCATGACTTGAGGTGAATTCAAGAGTCGGATGCTTAGCCAACTGAGTTACCCAGGTGCCCCTGAGGTTTTCTGATTTTAAAAAAGCTCCCACGAGGAACGGTCACAGGAAAATGAAGAAGATATAGCTCCCAGACATACTAGCTAGGATCTTAATGGCCTAATTTCCCTACAATCCACTATTTACTATAAGTAACGATATAACTAGCACTAGTAAATTATGAAGTGCCCAAAGTGTGTTAAATAGGATTCAGTTCTTATCCAGAAAATGTCCATATGACTAAGGAAATGATTTTTTTTTTTGTATTTTTAAGAATAAGAGATATAGACGACTACACCCCCCCACTTATGTAATTTGTTCTGTACTGATGGGAGTTTTTCCTTCAGTTTCTGGTTTCCAACTTCTTTATTATTTAAAGCAGGTAGATAGCCTTGAGAAGTTTCTGAAGGAGAATATTATTACCCCAGCCTCTCTCGTCCACGGAAGCAACAGAAGACAAGCTGACTCCTTAACTGCCTACACAAGTCCACACTCTCTCTGTATGGAGTGCGACTAGTCAGGTGGTGTTCCGGTAAGAGCCCTTGGATTAAGGGTCAGAAACTGGATTCCAAGGCCACCCCTGTCCCTCACTGGACGTCTGACCCACATACACAACGTAAGCCCTCTGATCTCCATCTCCTCACCTGTGTCAAAATGGAGAGGCTGACCATGCCTGTCCTGGGTACCCAACCACAAAATGACCTTGAGCAACAAGTGCAATTGGCAGAAGTTAGCAGTCAGTTCTTCTATGTTGCTGACAACCTGAGCTAAGAACAGAGCCAGTTTTCAGCAGCTACCAGGCTAACATCCATCCCAGTTATGGGTTTAATGGGGGGAGGGGGGGGGAAGGCCACCCTCTGGGTTCTTCTTGTACCCCTGGAGTGTGGTGAGAGTTCACCTGGATGGCAAGTCTAGATAGGCTGTTTTGCCAGGAACCAGGCTTAGTCTTGAAGGTAAGGTAGGAACAGCAGAGTAGGGAGAACTCAGTAGGCCAGCTAGGAATCTTTATAGGAAATGTCCCCCTCTGTCTTCCCAAGCTATCCCATAGGTTAGGGCCAACTGAACTCTAACATGATGGATCAGGTTAGGAAAACTTCAGGGATCAGCCAGCTCTCTGGGCTCAGCATCCCCTGAGATCTCGGGAAGTGTCTACATGAGCCAACACTGTGGTAAGAACGTTTGTTCTTTCCTGAGAAGGCGAAAGGCAGTGACTCACAGGTTCTACTCTAAGATCGCTGCTATTCTCCTCCCCTCAAACCATCCCTACGCCTATCGGATGGTTGAGTCGCACCATGCTTGGCTGCAAGCTTCACAGCAATCCCCCCCACCCCCCATAAAAGAAGGGACTTGGTAGAAATCCATTTCGAAGGTAGACAGGAGTGCAATAATGAAACTCTCTTCACTTTAAATTTTTAAATACCCATTTCTATTTTAAAATTTAAATTTTCTATTAGGTTTGCATTTGCCTTCTACCTAGACAGTCGTAAGTGGACTAGAAAGGGTCTTCTGCCTTTGCTTTTTCTCCCTCTTCTTTTGTGACTCTTAAAAAAAGAATAGGAAACCAGAAAGCTAAGAATTCAAGGAAAGTAAGTTAACTATAGAACTTCAGGATAATGTTGCATCCAACAAGGTGACAACAAAACATATCTGTCACCTACTGATGGAAGAAAGGCTGATATAAGGGACTCCTATTAAAGTAGTATTGCTCATACAGACCCAAGGAAGTAGAACTGATATGTAAAGTCCCGTGTGTGTGTGTGTGTGGAGGGGGAGGGCCTCTTGGAGAGAGCAGCTCTGTTATAGTTAGAGTACCTTACATTTATATATACTGCTTTGTAATTTAAAGCCTTCCTTATGCTCTTCTTCATATGGTTTTTATGGTCCTGTGATATCCTTGACTCCAAATCTGCAGCTCTTTGCCACACAACACCAGCTTTTGGGTAAGACTACGCGGACCACTGTGCCACACAGACCATCGGTGGAGTGTCAGGATTGGAATCCAACTTTGTTGACGACAGGGGTTCCCTGAGCCCTTCTCTACTCTTCTTATGGAGGGAGGTGAGCATCGCATTCCATATCATATATCAAACGAACAGGTCTGATTCTCACTTGAGCTGAATCTGGGTAGAGCAAGGGACTTTAAGGCCAAGTTTTAGTACCTTTGCCCATACGGTTCCATGAGTACCGGGAAGATGAGGAATCCTCCACAAATAAGGAGCAAAAGAAGGCCATACGAGTCAACGACCTCCCCGCAGGTCAGGTGGTGACTGTCAATGACCTCTTTTACCCCATGAGACCCGGGCTACAGGCCATGGGCAAATGTTCTAGAGCCCCCACTTGAACATTTCTTATATTGGCTATTAATGTTTCCTGAGATCATCACTTACAACTTAAGTTTTTAAAATGCCTTTACGGCCAGTGTGTCTGGGTTTTCAATAGGGGACACTGAGGACTCGGTGGCCTCCAGTCCAGCCAGGGGCTCGGTGCAGAAATGCAGAGGCTGGCCCTTGGGGCTCTGCAAGCCCCATGAGGCCCGAGGCTCTTCACCCTCCCTCCTAAAGGGCCGGGGTGCCCGACGCCCCCATGCCGCGGTTACCTGCTCGTACTTCTCCAGCTCCGTGTGGTAGATCTGTCTGATCTGGGACAACTTGGCTCTGTAGTCGGAGTGCTCCACTGAGTTGTCGGAGCCCGCGCCCCCCGAAGCCGCCGCTGCCGCTGCTGCCGCTGCTGAACCACCACCCTTCTCGGGGCCCGCCACCCCCTCTGCCAGCAGCATGTTGTCCAGTCGCATCAGCTGGGGGTCTGTCGGCTCCTCCTCCTGGGCTCCCCGGATACTCAAGACTGCAGGGGGACACAGCGGAGGGGAGGGTTAATGGTACCCCACGCAAGCAAATGAAGAAAACCGAAAAGCAATGTCGTACCACTGGCGCAGCAAATTACCAAGGTGCTTGCAACGTGGCGGGTGCAGAAGGGGCGAAGGACCAGGCCAGGGGGATCAGGAGGGGGAGAGAACGCAAGGAGAGGCTTGCTTTGTTCCAGAATGATGCTCCACTTATGAGAGCTACCCAGAATGGTCCAATTCATGGAGGCAGAAAGTAGAGGGGAGCGGGGCGGGGGCTGGCAGTCAGTGTTTCATGGGGACAGACTTTCCCAAAGGCAAGAGCGATGGTGAGTGCATTTAACGTCGCTGAACTGTATCCTGGGCACTGAAAAACGGGTAAAATGATAACTCGTGTTATGTAGATGTTACCGCAAGAAATTTCAGAAGTACAAAAAATTAATTACAGCAGAAGACGATTTTCACGTTCATCCCCAAACTGCCAAATTTTTAATCCAAGGCAAGACATTTCCCTCTTTGTTTCTAATTTTAGATTTTGTGAGTTTGTGGTTTTACACTCGTTGACTTTATACTATTTGATCGACCTAACTTTTCAATTCCACAATAACCTAAGCCACATAAAACCAGTCGTTTTGGACTGGAATCTTGAGACCTTTCCCCAAGACCAGCAGGGAGAGTACAGAAGTTTAAAACAGCAAAAAGATATATTATATGTCAATTATTCTTCAAGAAAAAATAAAATAAGAAAATAGAACAGCAGGAAGACAGACTGGCCATCAAGTAGGGATGTTTCTCTCTGGACACTGAGATCTCTTCATTCCAGGTGACGACTGTCCTGTTGGAAACCAGGGGGAGGACCATTGGACGAGCTGTTTCAGGCATTCAGAGAAACCACGTAGGATGGAGGAGGCTCAGATCGATGAAATGGCTGCTTTTTATTAAAACACCATGGCCATTTGGGTGGGGGGAGGGGGTTGGGACTGAAAGAGATCAAGTGTTTTAGTAAAATCAGCAGAAGAACTAGGCAGTCTCCTTTCACTACCATCTTACAACCTGCCATAAAATAAATCACTCATCTAAACCCAGTTTAGCTGTCAGCAGTCAAGCCTTTGTTGAGAGGGAACACGAGAAGAATTTCCAATTTAAAAAAAAGTGAAAAAAATTTGGGGGTAAGGTAGGAAAGGAGGGAAGTGATTCCAGGCAGAGGAGAAGGAGCCATGGATGGGGACGGGGCCATGGCAAGCACTTTGTGGCTTGATGCACACATGAGTGCTGGAACAATCAGAGAATCAAGAGCTGTTTCCAGGTGGGGTGCATCTGGAGAGCCCCGGGAGGTGGTGCCTGTCCTAGGTGTCTCCTGAGCCCTAGCAGGACAGCCCCGGGGTGGGCAGGGGGTGGGGGGGAACCGGGAAGGTGGCTATGAGCTCAATACGAGGGACGCAGAGATGTTCGGGGCGTCCCATCACGTATAATACCAGCATAACCGCATGCTCCTGGCTTCCATCAGGCACGACAAGAACCAACGTCGAGCGGTGTTCAGAAGGAAATCCCAAGTCCTGTGCTGCATGGGACCCTGCAGTATGGCCTTCATGAAACGGGAGACAGTCAAGTGGCCCGCTGAGCCACGTGGCTCAGGAGTGGCAGCAAGGAGCAGAGGATTAAAGGGAGAAAAGCAGCAGTGAAGTGAGGATAGAGGAGGGTAGGGCAGATGCGGGGAGGGTGGCTAGCTGGGGAGGAAGGAAGGAAGCCCGCCCCTGTACACCGACATTGAACACCTCTGGACTCAGGCTCCTCTCCTCTCACACCTGAGTCCAGAATATTCTGCGGCATTAAAATAAAATCGCCATATCAGTGACGGCCTTGTGGAGGTTTGTGTTGTGGACGTCCTTCCAGTGAAATCCTTCTTTTGTAGCTCCAGGAGACGAATTGGGACATTGCCCCTTGGACTGGCCTTTGAATAACATCCAGTCCTGTCATTCTGTGCCTTGAATTCATTTACCCAAACCTCCGAAGTCCTCCGAAGAACCTATCGCCACTCACAGAGATTTCCTTAAGAAAATAATCCAATGCTCTACTCATTTCCTGAATTAGAGACCTTTCCAGTCCCTAAAGGTGCAGAAAAGAATGGGACCACCTGAGCACCTGGCGGTGGAGCCCAGAATTCCTCACCTCTACAGGTGACGGCATTTGTGTGTGGGGTCTTATGGGGGTTTCTCTACGGAATTTCATTTAGCAAGTTTTAATTGCTTTATCAACAAAAACATTTATGGGTCATTTAGAAGATTCACCTCAGGCTATTCTTAATAAACAAATGTAATTGTTCCACTTTAGCTTGGTCATTAAATAAATTGTGCAAAATCCTACTCTCCAACCCACTCTACTGAATCTTGTGTTGCATATCCTCCAGAAGAGGCCAAAGACTCTAGGAGAGCAGTCTACGAAGCTGACAGTGGTAATGCCTCCTAGTGGGTCCTCCTGGTCCTTCCATAACCAATCCATCACACACGGTAAAGATCTTATATTAATTTCTGGTCTCAACAAAGGTAGCAAAGAGAAAGAGAGCAAAGTCATCCTAATGCTCAGGATGTGGCCCCCTAGGGCTAGCCTACAACCTGTCTGCCCCAGATGATGGCAAGGATCCTCAGCCCGTGTGCCCAGGACTGCCTCACTCACTCAGCCAACTTATTCCTCCAGCAAAGTTCCATTCATTCTGAGAGAAGTAGGAGAAGCAGAGAGAGGCATCCACAGACCACAGTGCCGGTCCCAGTTCCCTCCAGGTACTACGCAGGTAACCATGGGCAGGTTACTACCACCGATATTTACTTCTGAGAATATTTCTCCCTTCCAGACCCACATACTTCACCTACACCTCTGCTCAACCTTTTCTTTTCAACAATCAGTGGGATGCACAGACTATTCACACAAACTCTGCACACCTACCTAAGTAACATTTTGCTGGGCTTGAAATCTAACTGGTTTTAAATAAAATAAGGAAGAAAATTGCTAAGACTAGCAAAGGATGCTGAAAGGTATCGCTGCTGGCCCCTCACCACCAGGGAAACTTTAGGACAGTCACACAAGCGCAAAGCACTCACCTACGCGGACCCTTTCCTCCCCCGCCCCACCCAGGTATAAAGGATACATTTAGTCGAGGAGGAAAAAAAAAAAATAGTGCCAGTGTTAGCACTCCACTTAGCTTTTGTATCATTTTATGAATCCTGTAAACAAATACTCTTCAAAAACAAATTTGGATTTAATAAGATTTAATAAAATTGGTTTCCAAATGTGGCTAATAAGAAATTGGTATGATAGAATTCAATGCACGTTAATGTATACATTACTTGCATTTATACTTAAGAGTTCAGGACACATACATAGGTCCCAAACCAGAGATCTGATGAAAAGAAAAGAATATAAAGATGGGGGGTAGGGGGTGGGGGAGAAGCAGTCCTCTTCAAATTACACTCTTTAAATTATACTGAAATCATTATGAAAAGAAAAAAATTCAAGAGTATGTGTCAGAATCTCCCGCCATATATAATATATACACACATGATATATATCATGTGTACATATAGTGTGTGTACATATATATAATGTATATACATAATGTGTGTATATATACATACAATGTGTATATATGTGCATATATGTGTGTATATACATAATGTGTATATGTGTATATATGTGTGTATATATCATGTGTGTATATATAGTATTTATATAATGTGTGCATATATAATGTATGTATGTAATGTATATATATAACATGTATATATGAGATATATATATAGTGTGTGTATAGATACAGGAACAATATAAACAGTATAAACGAGAACATCTTCTACTTCACATAGAAGATTCTGGTTCTGATGGTCTTGGGCTGTGTCTGTGCACTTGGAGGAGGCACGGATGGACCAATAAACTGCCTGCACTTCATTTCTATCCAGAAGGATAATCCGTGTGAACCATTATAAAAACGGGTGTTAGGATTCACGGTTATGGAAACTGTTTGGCGAGTCATTTAAAAAAGAATCCCTCCAACATTAAATAAATAAATGAAAAGGGTGATATGTCTAAGCAGAACTGATGCTACCTATTTATTGCTTGAAGCCAGCACTCTGGTGTGTAGGAGACAAAATGATTATTTAAAAGCTCCTTTTTATCTCTGTGGCACCATGCAAGACTCAAATGAACCTTTCGCCAGGACACCAGAGATGTTAACACTCATCCTCCAAGATCCAATTTCAACCAGCGGAGCTGTTACCTAATCCAGCAACCATCACAAATGATCAGGTTTCTGCTTCCCTGACGGGCACCCGGCGCTCTCCCCTCCCCCTGGCTCCCCAGTCCAGCAGCTTTTCCTGAGCCAGGTTTTAAAGGGCCAAGTTCCCTGTTTACGCCCGTGTGCGCAGGGTCTTTCTTAGCAGTCAGGAGTCAGGTCTGGACACGTCCACTGCCAGAGAACGTAATCAAGCGCAGTGGGCTCGCTATCCAGAGGGGTTGCTCAACGAGGTGGTTAACCCTTTTGGTAATGACTGTCAAAGGAGGAGTCTACTCCTCACGAATCTACCCCCTTGTGTCTGAGGCCAGTCAGGGCAGGTGAGTGATTTATGTACAAACTGTCACAACCCTTTGAAAAGCATCCGATGTCACATCCACCTTGCTGCCATGGCTGGCAGGGGTGTGTGTGTGTGTGTGTTAATTCTTTGGTCAAACTCCCAAGATAAGGAGACTGTCAGAGCCCTGTCGGAGCTGCTCTCACAACGGGTCTCCTGCTGTTCCTTCTTTATTTATTTTCCTTCAAAGAAGGAGAAAAACAAACCAAACCCAAAGGCATATTCAGGATCGTTGGCAGGAGGGCTGTGGGCTGCTTGTTTTGTCTTTGCCTGAACAACACGAACCCTGAGCAGCTCCAGCCAAGGCCCACTAGAGGGCACTCTTTCTTCACCGAGGACGGGTGCCGCAGGGAGGGTCCGGCGGTTTCCAGTCCCCAGGTTAG